CGAACCTTGATAACCGAATCGATTAGCGTGTGCCCGAGTCAGATGATATTTTTGCTTGTATCCGGTATCGATCACGCGTGGCTCTAAATGGAATATCAAGCACGAGCCCACCGTGTGTAACTATTTGCCGGCAAAAATAGACGTTCCAAACAGAATCTGTCAACGAAGGTGTTTTCGCGGCACGATATACACGGCAAGTTTAATCAACGTCCTAAAGATGTTAAACCGCACCACAATGTAGCCCGATTATCGAATATTCCGGCGCCGTCAGAAGACGTCATTCCTTACTTTATACTATTTATCGAGCGTGTAAACGCGCCTTACGAAACGCTTCGATGCCATCCGCGAGCGTTATTATAAATTTTGTTAAACACAGATAGAACAACAATAAATCTTATGACTAGATATTTCGAGCCATTGAACAGTAACATTAAAAAATCCTATAAGAATAATAATCATGTGATATCATATTTATAATAATATACATTTTAGCTGCTAAAATATTTACGAGCCTGTATATTGTAGGCCTCTCTCCCTCGCACTCACGACCCTCAAGGCGCCGACTTAAGAAGAACTCATAAAGCATACTATCCTCGTAAAGCAGTCAAATTTGTCCATACTTTCTAGCCACGCGCTATACTTAAAGTCTCATAAAGCACGGCACGGAGTCTTGCAGAAAAAGAAAAGAGCCGGCTCACGCGTAATGATTTTGGGACACTATTCACAGCTCGTAAAGTAGCGACGAATCGCCACGTTTCGAGAGAATCGAGAGAGGCAAAGGATACGCGATCGATACAATAATCAAATCATGGAAATTATAATTAAACATTCTCTTCCATTGCACTAATTATTCCATTGCACTAATTATTCCATTGCACACATTATGAAATATTTTTAGGCAGAAAATCACATTGGATAGATTTGATTTCGGTCTTATTTGTTGTTTTATCTACATTTAATTTCATATTTTATTTGTGGATTTACTTCGTAAGCCAGTGCTAAATTTGAATGCCGTAAACTTTGGTATACGTTTGCACGAGACGCGGTTTTTATGCAAACAGGGAAACACGAGGCAATTAAAGCTGCGAGAAACTATTTTGCCAACATACACCTTCAATGACACAGCGCATCACGATCTATTTTAAGGCCATTTCACACTCCGCGGAGGTTTGACGTACGTTGTATTTTGACACTATTAATAATTCTAGTCAATGCTCGTTAATTTCTGCGGTCCCCTTTCTTCGCATCACAATACTTACGTTTTAGCCCAACGATTGCGCTACCAATTAGTGTCAGTTAGCCGGGACTATTTTTACATGCGCATCCGCACGTAATTCAATAAGGACCTATATCGGAAAGTTTTATTAATACCATTTATAAATCATTTCCACGCGAGTGTTAATAGGTTTTGCCAGACGTGCCAAACGCTTTCCCCGGTTCGCGTTTGACACGATTGACCTGGAAAGTTTCGCAAGGAAATTATTTTCGCTCCTTTCTTGCGAAACGTATTGTATTCCATATGCGTGCTATATATCCATTAATAAAACACCTGTTCATTATTCGCGTGATATATGATTAGCTAAAAATGTCACGAGAAAGATTTTGAAATTGCGCGGCGAAACTTGATATCTCTCCCCCCTTTATATTATATCCGCCCCCTAAAATACTAATCCCTTAAAAAAATTCGGGGCGTCAGCTGCGATATTAATATGCACGTCTTGAAACTATATTACGCAAAACTTTGCTAGTATATGCTGAAATTTAATTACAGAATTAGAAATCCTAATCTAGATCTAAAATGTCGAGATCGCAATAGTTGGCCGATGGTATCTACTATTTTTACATAAAATTTCAGAAAATTAAATTAAATTATCTTACGGGCGTTAAATCATCCGAATGTTCGCAGCGCTTCAAATATCATATTCGTCAATATTCATCACAAATATTATATATATCAGCGATTAGATAATTATTTGTACACCGTATTCATTAGAAATTATTGTAATTTACGTCTATGCATGCACTATATGATATAGTAATGCTTCGTAAGCATTCAAATGGAATGCGCACCATTTTGCATTTACATCCACCGACATTCAGCAAGGCCCGTTGGGGTCGCTGCATCCCTCAGCACCCAGAAGTAGCGTCCCCCTGCATCCTTCGTAACGTTATCCCACATCGATTGCACTTCACTTAAGTTCGCTACATTCGCGATGCGATGATGTTCACATTTCAGCGGAGTTAACGTATATTCTACGACTTTCGAGTTTCTCTAATGAACGACTAGGTCGGAATCCACGAATTGAAAAGTATTGAGAACGAGAAAGACAGCATACTCCCCTCCCCATTTTCACTTATTCAAGAACAGATTTTTCATTTAACTAGTTCGTCGCATATTGTAATGTCACTTCAGCACACTCGCGGCGTGAAAGATCGGTAATGAACACCGTGAATTAAAATCGGCGAGCGAAATAGTCGCGACGCGTATGCGTGTGTAGATAATCGTGAATTAAAAGCCGATCGCGAAATCTCCTAACGCGGTACGCGAGCGAAGTAATCACGAGTGGCGTGAAATTTTCACGCACGAAGGCTTCCGCAATGCTCATGCGGAATATCATAGCTCTGTGCGAAAATTACTCCGCAATTCTTATGTAAAGATTACTCCGCAACATTTATGCGAAGATTATTCCGCGATATTCAATGCAGAGAATACCCCGCAATATTCAATGCAAAAATTATTCCGCGAATACTTTTACTTTCGTAACGTTTCGACAAACTTAATTCAACGGAAACTATTCGAAAAGAAGACATATTTCTCTAAAGAACGTGTCGTGTATTGAGAAAATATAAATATGAAAACTTGGCCTAAACTGAAACCTGTAGTACTCCATCTGCATCCACTAGAGATTCGTTCTCGATAGCATCAGAATGTGGCTGCAAGTTCTGCCAGATTTGAAACAATTTTCCTGGTTAATTACAACGATAAGGAGTCGGTCCAATTGAATTAGGAATATTCCAAATGTATTTCTTTTAATAAAATATAATAAAAATTCAATACCATCATTATACACTTGCACTACATAAGCTTCGTATTACTCCCACTAGGTACGAAGACTGCAGCATGATGATAACGCGAATGATTATAGCTAATCTCACTTATGCTTTAATCGGATTAGAACAATCGAAAAAATCGCGCGCGAAAACTCCCATTGCGTATGCTTCAACGTCTACGAGTGTTATGATCATTTGTTCGTCTCTTACCTACGAGTATATTGTTCCGAAAGTCGCGTAACCTTCAGTGCGCACCAAGCCCGCGGGACTTTCGACGTAGCAATATATGTATATGTGTGTGTGTGTATACGCGATTATATTTCTATATACAAGATGTCTCAGAATTATCGAACATACGAAGCTTAAAATCGCGGACACATATACATATTCTAATATAAAAATATCACATTTATTTAATTTCACGGATAAATTTTTTTCTTTAAATAAATATTTCAGATCTAATTTTGCTTACAATAAATAATCAAAAATTTATATTAAACCAAAGAATTAGATATTTCGCAAAAACTTCAGATTTATTATCAGTAATCAACTTGTTAATATTACCGTAGACTGGGGTTACTTTGGTATGGTTTTCGCACTTTTTGCACTCCTCTGTTCAAATGACTGTTACGAACCGTTTTGCATTGTATTAGTTAGGTAAATATGATGATATTTTCTTTAAATTCACCAATATTTTCACTCGCAGATCAAAAGTTTAAAAATAATCCCACCTTTTTCATCAACGCTGCATGAATATGTCGGTACGATGCGAATGATAAAAAAAGCCCTAGTTATTATTTGTTGTTAGATGTTAAGGCCAGTTTATGTATATGCTTACACAGTAGAAATCTACACGATATCACTGGCCAACTTTAATCTCTCATAACTCAGAGGCTATCGCGCGACCTCGATATTTTCGTCTCAGGACTTTCAGTTCCGATTAAGAATCTCGTGATACGCTATTAAACATATACAGCACAACAGTTTCGGAGACATCTCATGCAGATCTAGTAATAATAGACGAGAAATATCATTAATTACAGAAGCGCTCGCTCGGGCGGAGGCAAGAAAAAACAACGAGGAAGTGGTTGGAGAGGTTGAGTGGCGATTAAATCGAATCGTCGCGACGACACCGGGCGCGGTCCTATCGAAGCAGGATCAAGCAAGAGTGTCGCCGGTCCGCGCGAGGTAACGCGCGAGAAAAGGGAGAAAGAAAATCCAATTAGCACGAGAAGAGCGCGCGGGGCACGGCCGACTGCATATCGCCAATGTCAAGAAACGCGCGGCTCGCTCTGTCGGTCGGTCGGTCGGTCGGTCGGTCGGTCCCGTGACCGTATGCGTGCCACTTGATCGAGTACTTTTCTTTTTTTCGCCGATCGCCTTTTGACTCCGTCGGAGAGCCCGGAGGAGCCTCCAGCGAAGAGACGAAGGAAGACGAGGGGCGTGTCCGGTCGCGCGGCTTCTACAAAGAGATGCCCACTTCCCCGTGGACCCCTTCCACTCCTCGGGGATCCCCTTCCACGTGGGTCCCAGGAGTTCGTCCGTCCGTCGGTCCGTCCGTCCGTCTCGATCCCCCACCAACGGGCCCCAAGAAAACCGGGCAGCATGGTCCAGACCACGAGATCGCCAGGTAAAGCCAGTTTACGCAACGCTTCCATACGCGAAGCATACACGACGATCCAGAAGAGGGATCCCGGAGAGTCTCATACGGAAGCTTGACGGACAACAATTGACGTACGTCGAGAGAGACGTTCCCGGCGCACTCTCGAGAATATCAGCTACCGACAGGTCGATTGAACGCACCCAAATTGCTCACGGAATTGACAATTAAAGGACATTAAAGGAATAATGACGATCGCTTGAGAAAGTTTTTCGCTCGAGATCGCTCCGCGTTATGATCTAAGAATCTGCCGAAGGTGATCAAAGGATCGAATTCGTTGAACGCGAGGATGACCTCCTACGCGACCTTCCAGCAGTACGACCTCCTGGACTCTGAGGGTTACGGGTCTGCGAGCAGCCCGGAGTCGAACCCGCGCGGCAACTGGCACCATCAGGAGATCTACCCGCAACCGCCGCGCTCCAGGGGCAGCAGCTGCGGTAGCGTCAGTTCCGTGGACAGCCACCATCAGCAAGAGTACCAGGAGATCGGCACCCCCAATGGCAGCCTGCACGTGACCGCGGGCTTCAACTTCGCCGACTTCTACGAGGGCTACTACCAAGAGGGCTGCCGTAGCAGCGAGCCGTTGAACGGCGCCAGGAACGTCAAGGACCATCACTCCAAGGTCATCTTCAGAATGAACGATCAGTGCGCGAGCTACGGTGACGCTCCGTCCAGAATGGGCTTCAACGAGGGCGCCGCGGGCAAGCAAGACCCGGCGGGGTACGTACAAAAGATGGAGCACCATCATCCCGCCGGTGTCTTTGCGAATTCCCGAGCCGACTACGCTCAGGAGGTATTCGCGGCGAAGAGCTACGGGAAAAACGGCGGCTTCCTGCCGCGGAACGAGAGCCACCCTTACGGTCAGAGAACGGACGTGCTCTACTTGGGCGCCGCTTACACGGTGCAGAGGAACGACGCCGGCCTGGTGACGACCGGCCAGCCGAACAAGTGCGATCAGTCGCGGTATCATCAGCGGGACGACGGGCACCACGTTCTGCCGGCGGACTACGCCGGGCAAAAGTCCAAGGACGCGATGCAGAAGATGAAGAGCAGCGCGCCTGGCATCGAGGTGTTGAGGAAGAGGAGGCTCGCGGCGAACGCCAGAGAGAGGAGGCGGATGAACAGCCTGAACGACGCCTTCGACAGGCTGCGGGACGTCGTACCCAGTCTCGGCAACGACCGCAAGCTCAGCAAGTTCGAGACGCTGCAAATGGCGCAGACCTACATAGCCGCGCTCTACGAGCTGCTGCAGCGCGAATGAACGTCCGGCTCTCCTCCGGAAAGGGGAACGAGCACCATCGACGTCGCCTTCCCTGAACGCGTGTCACCGCAACGACCTAAAGTCCTCGAGGGAGATCGCGGAATGTGTGACAGCGACTTGGGAACCTCGCGACAGAAGGAGAGAGAGACACACACGTTCGAGGATACTCGTGAGACCGTCGGTCCCCCCCATCCTTTCGGGAAGTTCCAGGCTGCGACGGTGATCGCGAAGTCTTCGAGATCGCCGATGCGCGCGTGAAACTTCGATTTCACGACGAAGCGGACTAACCGCGTGGATTTCCCGTCGAGTTCGGATTGAGAGATCGCCGCGCTATTCCTCTGTGGGAACGAGGCTGCTTCCGACAGACAACATCCACAGGTAATGACGAATTGTCGGGATACCGAGACAGCCTGTCGGATAGGATGAATTAACGAGCGAACTGGGAATCGAGACTTCATTAACTTGTAAACGAGTCACTCGACCACGGCGGCATCGGCCGCGGTACGTAGATGAAAAGCATAATACCGACTTTGTTATCGGCCTTCAGGGGTCTCTCTCTATCTTGTTACGATTGATCTGTTAAAAAGAAAATGAAGGCAAATTCGCATGCCGCTCGTGTTATCATTCTCGGGATATAGATGTAAATGTAATGTAACTTTCGATTCGTTGTCGAGCGGATGATCCAATTTACCGTTACCGTTATCTACTTTTCGGAAATAATGCTTTAGCTTCACGATAGCTTTCAAAAATACGATTAACGTCGCGTTTTGTATTCGAAATATCTTTTGATACGTCACGATGGCTTATGTCAAAACTAGCCGATTAAGACGGGTGAAAAAGACGCTTTTAATTACACATGTCGGACTTAATCGTAAATTTAGTGCCGCGTGGTAATTCATCGTCGATACCTGTCCCATCACGCCGCATTCGCTGCGGGATTCCGTTCGGTCGTGATAGGATGGGCGAAAAACGGACGCGACTGACCAGTCGAGGATCCTTCCAAAGGAGCAGCACAGCTCCTCGAGAATCGCGTGTCTCCCGGAAACAGTTGGGATATTTTTTGTATTATGTTGACGACATTTGACGGTATTGATTATCAGAAGAAATTGCGAAAAATTGAAGTACACATCTTTTATGAAATTTCTCTCAGTGATGAAATCGATCACTTTGAAATTTTCATACATTGTGAATTTGTTTCTTATAATACACATGTATAAGAAAAGTTTTATAATATGTAAAATTCATAGTACGTGAAAAAGCTATTATAGAGTAGAAATCATATTCCGAATATTATAATACAACAGATAAGGTTTATACATTTCGACGAATCATGGCTTCTTTGCATAGAAACACTCGAGGAAACTACTCTGGATAATTATTCCGGAATCCACGTTCTTTTGCGCGGCGTTTCTAAATAATCGCGATAACGACAAATGTCGCTGGCTCGGTACAGAACCACCACTACACACAGGCGAGTGGGTAGGACGCATAAAATGTGATCGTTGACTGTAATACCGAGAGTGGTCCCCACGCCAACTATCGCCATGCTAGAACGGCGGGGGCGTACTCGCCTCGAGTTTAATTGTAAATAGGCACCGTCGTACATTGTCGTCTGCACGAGGCACCGTGTAAATATCTGATTCAAGACGCGTCTAACTTATTGCGAGACTGTATAGGTGATTCTGTACATACATACGTACACATATACACGCATAAATACGTGCACTGCGGGGGCAGGGATCTTCGTTCTCTCGCGTACGTGCGCGCACGTGCGTGATCGTTCATTGATGCCTCGAGTCGACGATAGGTATCAATTGAGAAGTTCGCCTTAAAAAGAACGCATGAATAATAGCGTTTTATAAGGAAAAAAGTGCATTTTTCGACGACTCAAACGTCTTGTTTAGAGGTTCGTAAAACGAATAAGGGAGTAGAATGTCTCTTGGAGTAATGATATTTCGGAAATTAATTAATTAATTAACAGTACGTGGTCAAAGAATGTGCTTATCGCGCATTAAAGTCCAGAGATGGAAGATCGGAAGGCCGAATTGCATGGTTAATATATTTTTCATACGTTCCTCTTTTTGGAAGCGAACTCCGATACGATTTCTCATGTGTGTTTCCGAGGAAACGCTTAATTTTACGTCCGCCTCGTGTTACCTGAGTATTCACCTGTAGCTAATGCTCAATGGCAATTGTTAAGATAATTGTACATAATTATGAATAATCTCGAAAGCGATTGCGGTTCAACTTTTAATCGCCTTAAACGCAAAGATCTCACGCTGACAAGAGCTCACGCGACAAAGCGTTCACGCTGTTCCAATCATGCGAGAACTGGGAAAAATTGAATCGCGAGGGGAAAAAATGACGCCAATTTGTCGGTATCAACCCTCGTTTACACCTTATCGTTAGATCAATAATAATTATAAATCACCGCGTCGTGTGTCATATTTTCCGTAATATCGGTAATCATGAATTCTCCATACGCAATGTCTCGATACGCCAACTGATCCCGTAATCCGAAAGGTATTCGCACAATCTCCCCGATCGAGACGGCCGGATCGTCGCGACGTATTTTTCGCGGTTTCGTTTCGAGACGACGCGTGACTGGAATAATCTCATTCGGCCGCGATTCAGCCCGCGATGCTCCTCTCTCGCAATTAGGGATATGCAAAAATCGCGGGACAAATGGCGGCGGCCGGCCACCTCCACTTAGCAGTCAATCACAATTAAATACAATTTTGCGCGGGCCGCGAGGCCCGGTAATGGCGCAAAAAGAGAGCAAATTGAAATCTCCTAGCTGACAGAATGATAGATGGTACCGGCCAGACGTGAGAAGACGTGAGAGCGACGGAGAGAAGTGTAAAGAAGAGACGCGAGAAAGAGAGATAGATAGGTGGATAGATAGATAGAGAGAGAGAGAGAGAGAGAGAGAGAAAGAGAGAGAGAAGAAAAAGAGACAGAGAGAAAGATGAAGAGAGAAAAGCGGAGAAACAGCCTTTCTTCCATCCCCGATGTGAGAAAGCTCTTCGTTCCGCGAGGAGATTCACGAGAGAACGAAAACACAGAGAGAAGTAAGTCGGGAGCTGATGATAACGCCACTGCGAAGCCGATTTCTCTCGCTAATATCGCTAATCCTCTCCATCTGTTGAAAATGGGGATCTGATCTTTGCACGGAGCAGCGATAATTTATATCGATCGGAACCGAAAGAAAGAGACGGAAGCTCATTCTCTCTCTTCTATAAATCGCGATCATTATGGCAGCGCCGTTTAGAGTCGTAGATTAGTTACGGGCGCCGCGAAAGCACGATGATTATTCGCCGTGATAAGCGGCGTACGATCATCGCGATACTCTATTCTCGTAAAGCTCGCAGTCGTATAAATAAAGGTCGGAAGCGAGGAGGTGAGGGATCGCTAAAGAATACTCGCGATCGTCGATCGGTATTATTCCTCTCCCGAATAATAAGCTTAGCAAAACGAAAAACCTCAAAAGCAAACGTCGAGCATTTCTTGCCGTAAGCGAAATTCGTTCATACCGCGATTTTTGTGTGTATCGGTTTTTTTCTCGCTATCAAAACGCGCGTTAAATGTCGAAACGACGCGCATTACCGCATCACGACAAAACGAATCCTACGCGCGCAGCACCGCTGTAATATAATACTTTATAGTTGCCACATTCCGTGTCCCATTACAGCCCTGCGTTGTAATGGCAGTATTATAAAAGGAAACGATAAGTCGCGCTCATCCACCTGCTCGGTAATCAAATCGCGGGATTAAATTGCCCACGATTTCGCGTCTTCGCGCCGTCGAAAGGGAATTAGGAGGGGGGGGGGGNGGACATTATCATTCAATTGGCGCCGCTACCGTCGCGGATAAATCACGTCGTAATTAGCGGCAAGACAAAACGTCGACGCACGAGCGCCAATTAATTTCGTTATAAACAACGGGGGCCTTTGTCCTCCATCGTACGAATGTATTTTCCGCTCCGGCTTCCTCAATTAAAGCGATAGAGATTTATATGATTCGCGCGTCGATCGAGCGGCGAGTTAAGGTAAAGAGACGGGGGGTTGGTTAGTCGGGAGGAGGGGGAAGCCACGGCTAATTATTCACTGGTCCATTCAAGGCGGCAGAATCTACGGATGAAACGAACGGATAAAGAGAGGTAAAGCGAACGGACGAACGGAGCAAGAAAGACGCGCGGACGCGAAAGAAGGAAATATCTCAGCGAGTAATATCAAAGCGAGGGATAGGTACGTTAATGGCGAACGACTGGGTCCACATGTGTGGGCCTCTCGGTCCTCACTCCCTCCTTCCGTCCTGTGTGTGCACGATACACAACAATACACGCAAACGCTAATCAGTCGACGCGCAACGTCTTCATCTACGCCGACCGCGCGCATCAGCCGCGCTTCGTCCCTCTATCAGCGCGATTTGTCTTCCGTCGCGGCTTGATGCGGCCAAGGACGAGGTCCCGCAGACCCAGGGCTTGAGAGCGAGAAATTGAAGCCGCGACAAAGGAACAAACTCCTCTTCGCGAATCTGTTCGCCACACCGAATTTTCTTCTTCCGGCGATGAGTAAACAGCGTTCATCGACTTCCGGGAGAAAGACGACTTGGCGTAATTATAATAATCGAAGTATTTCGATTCTATAAATAGCCGAGTGAGGATAGTTTGAGGATTGCGAGAATAGAGAAGAGAGCGACCAGCGTGATATCTCTTTTGCGTTTAAACGCGAAATTCATGCCGAGCCTCCGGTAATTAATTAGCATGATAACCGAGTGGAAAAAGAAAAACCGCGATCGCGATCTACCTGCTGTACAATGATCTCTTTTGTGCCTTCCCTGGGCACGAAGAAAACGATAATTCTCCTCTTCACGGCAATCTCATGCACGAAAGGAGGACTTTTTTCGAAGACTGTATTTTGCATTGTTAGCACTGCCGCCAAGTACCTTTGTAAATAAATTGTTTTTTTTGTACTTAGACACGAAAGTTAGGTGATAAG